ACACACACATACACACATACACACACGTACGTATACACACACACACGCACCCCTGCACTCCCTGCATGAAGTCGTGAGCCGGCAGGGAGGGGTGGCTGCGTCGGTCCAGCATCGTAGGCAGCGGGGACAGCGGGGGTGGCGACGTGAGACATACATACCCTCATTGTTAAACCCTAAGTCGCCAGCAAACTCCCATGGCATCCGCCCCCTGGGGAAAGCGAAGCACGCAATGATTTGACGGATCGCTGTCTCATTGAGACCGCATGCTGCAACTGGGTCACTTTGGGACGTTGGACGCCTCCCGCCTACTACACCCTTACCACTAATATGACGATGGAATTTGTGTGTCGTATGTCTGTCGTAAAAGGCCGTACATGAGCGACAAACTGTCGCGGCGGAGAAATGACGGGGATGATTCGGATTACAATGACGATCGGACAATGGCAATCGGATCACGACAATCGGATCACGACACGCACCCCAGACAGCCGACCAGTATCGTGTAATGCATGTGCAAGGAGTCAGGAGCGACCTCAGCCTAAGGCTCAGCCTAACCGATGCCTGAGCAAATCAGGGAAACCTTTACAGCACGGGAGGATAAGCCCGGCCAGGCACGCACATAATGATCTTCTGTTGATGATTGGTCCGGGGCCCCCGAAACGAGTTTGGAAGTCCACTCATGAACTGAATGGACCAGAGGCAGGAGGTCGTTCCTTACAACGCCGAGCGCCCAATGGGTCACAGTACATACATACATAAACTAGGCCTGACTTCTGCTCCCGGCTGACCCGGGTTCACATCCGCCTGCCGGCTCCTCGGGTGTTTGAGGAGTGTTGAAATGGGAGGTGGCCCCCCATCATATGGACGATGTAGGACGTGATAACATCAACTTGCGAGCTGACCAGGAACTAAGTTAATGCGCCGTTGATCCGCTAGCTTTGGGTGGATGCTGGTGGTGAGTTGCCGAACCCAACGAATACATTCTGAAGTCGGATGGGGTGACGGATTAGGGTGCCCCTCTAGCAGGGCAGAGCAGGGACTGCCCCGGGAAAGGGGGCCGCTGACGAAGTTAACCACCCTGTAACAACATACATACATACATCGCAGCCAAACGTATATTTACAACTACAAAGCGCCTCCGCTGCCTCCGCAGCCGCCACCGTCCACCGCTTGGATCCAGGCGCAGCCCACTAACTTCTAGCGGTCCACACAGCCCAACCGGGCCCGTGCTTCCTGTATACGGCTACTTCCACACCCTACATGCAGCCCACTCCAGGGGCATCGGCCTACAAGCACAACACAGCGTCATCCTACTTCGGCTCAACAACGTGTTTATGCAACTCTCCTCACCTCACCTCACCAACCACACAGGAAGAAACACCAAAACCAACGTTTTACGACGCGGTAATATGTACACCCCGTAGCGTTATGTTAGCATGAATTATAAAAAAAACTCTCAGAGATGGCGGATTGAAGGCAAGGTAGATTTCTTGCTGCCTGCACGCGCTAAAAGCCACATCGAGGGCGCCGACGTGCGCCGCCGCGACCATCCGGTGTGCTACTCCACGAAGGGGGGGCCCCCCAACCCAAACTGTTCCCAGCCACATAATGAGCAGCAACCACACAATGTGTCGCCTTTCGTGCACGAGATTTATTTCTAAGTGCACAATCGACGCGCGGGTTCTTAAGGTATCGGTAAAAAATAAATGGACCGGTGGCCCCCCCGTCCATTTATAGAAATCGTCCCTTCCGCCAGCAGCACCACGGCCGCCGCCAACACCACCCACTTCATTTGCTCTCCACTTTGTGGCTCGGACGACGACGCAGGTAATGCCACGCATAGAAAAGGAAACCTCTCCATCGCCATCTAACCACCCCGTAGACCTGCCCGCATGCCCGCCCGCCAGCCAGCCAGCCAGCCAACCAACCTGCCTGACCAACCTGCCAGCCAGCCAGCCGGCCAACTGAAGTGCCCTTTAGAAGCCGCAACCCTCCTGTTTGCAAGGAACGGCACCTCTGATCATTTGGAACACAACATCAAAAAAGAAAAGATCACTTAGGGTTTTTCCTCACATCGTAATGTGCACACCACGCGTGTTTGTGCATTTGTGTGTGTGTGTGTGTGTTACTTGAAAGTCCGTGTCGTAGAAGTTCGCTGCCGTACGGAAGCAGCTCAAGTAGGTTGGTGGTCATAACTTGGGCGCAGTCATGGCTACGGGTACGGCATGCCGGCATATGGCCAACGGCTCGCCAACGACTTTAACGGCCGCCCGGGGGGGGGAAGCCGCCCATTTTCGCCCCGTGCCTCAACAAGCCCAGCTGCGACATCGGTGCGTCCAAGGTGACCGGTGGGACTGCCGACGACGCGCCACCTACGATTCCGACGCCCAGGTCAATGTTCATGTTGTCGTACCCGCCGCCAGCGCCGCTGCCGCGGCTGCCGCCGCCCTTGCCGGGAATAAGGCCCGCCAGCAGCGACATAGGTCCAGCAGATGACGAAGAGGGCGACGGCGTAGGAACCGCAGCCGGCGCTGGCGCCGTGCCCGCGCTACTCTTGCCCCGGGCACTTGTGAGCCTCGCAAAAAGTGACGACGAGGCATTGCCGCTTGGTGCGGGCGACGGCAGCGGAGCCACCTTGCTGCTGTTGCTGCCGCCGCTGCCACAGACGTGCGGTGGGCTGCCTTGCGGGACGACGTCACCACAGTCCGCCGCTACGCTGCCGCTGAAGCCGCCGCCGGCACCGTGGGCGACGGCCTCTGGCCCTCCTCCGCCACCGCCACCGCCGCCGCCACCGCCACCACCGCCACCTCCACCGCCGCCACCGCCTGGCGAAACCGACCAGAACTTAAGTTTGCGCGAAAAGGATCCGAAACTCGTTTCCGGCGAACATGTAGTCCGAGAGCTCTGGGACGGCTGCTGTGGCGGCTGCTGCTGCTGTGATGGCTGTTGCTGCTGCTGTGGCGGCTGCTGCTGCTGTGATGGCTGTTGCTGCTGTGACGGCTGTTGCTGCTGTGACGGCTGGTGGTGGTGGTGAGGGTGATGGCGAGGTGGAGTCCCGGGAGTCGGTCCGCTGAAGCCGGAGGCAGCCGCCGCATGGGCCGCCGCAGCCAGCCCTGTCATGTCGTACGGCATCGACGTGGTGGCAAAGTTTCCTCCAGTTCCGGGCCCGCCGCCGGCCACTGCGGCCGCCGCATCGGAAACCTGGAGCGGCTGGAGGGGCATCGAGTGGGGCATGGCGGCGACATGTCCTGCGCGGTCGTTTTGGGACGGGAATGGCACTTGCTTCTGGTGCTGCACGGCGGGGGGGGCCCCGCCGCCGACACCACCGCCACCTCCGCCGCCGCCGCCCGTCGCATCGCCAACAGCGGCTCCTTCAACCGCTTGTCCTTGTCCCGGCGCGCCGTAGCCTTGCTGTTGCTGCTGCTGTTGCTGTTGCTGCTGCTGTTGCTGTTGCTGTTGCTGATGGTGCTGATGGTGCTGTTGCTGATGGTGCTGTTGGTGCTGTTGGTGCTGTTGGTGCTGTTGGCGCTGTTGGTGCTGTTGGTGCTGTTGGTGCTGTTGCTGTTGGTATTGCGGTTGCTGCTGATGCTGATGCTGATGCTGATATTGCTGCTGTTGCTGTGGGTGTTGCTGGTGTTGATATTGTTGCTGCTGCGGGGGGTTCTGCTGCTGCGGCTGGACGAGCTGTTGTTGGTGCTTTTGCGCTCCGAAGTCGCCCTGCGCGCCCGCGTGGAAGGGAAGGGCAGACCGGGGCATTGTAGGTAGGTAGTAGCGGCAGTAGCGGCAGTAGCAGTAGGTGTGTATGACTGACTGACTAGGAAAGGGGCGCCTGCGTGCGACAGTGCGGGAGCGCAAAACACACAACGGGGCACAGAAACACAGCACAGCACGGCAAAGACAAAACAACAAAATTTTGGAGAGCTGATGATTATTAAATGCATGCATTGCCCGCCCCAGTAGTGAAAGGAAAGAGGCAAATGAAGAGAGGGTAGAAGGGACGGTGAAGGGAGGCAGCTGCGGGTTCCGGAGCTGACACGTTATCGGTAGGGGTTGGAAGGAGCCCGCCCATGCAGAAGCCTCATACCCGAGCAGCCTCCCTAGGGGCACCGCAACCCTCGACATGCACCTTACGACCGTAACCCGTACCTCGTACACCAAGCAATTACCCACCGTACATACCATGTGCTGATGGGACACTCTGACAAAGGACTTGGCATAAACCCAAGGACTGCCTTCTATATATATTCTTATATACACACATATTTATTATTGTGTAATAAGTAACAATATGTGTTTCACAACTTAAAGAATTTGCGTTAGCCCTAAACTTCAAAGAAAGGTGTAAGTACCCGGGGGGCCACACGAGCCCTGAGGGAACCTACATGCCTACATGCCTACATGCCTACATGCCCCTACATGCCTACATGCCCCTACATGCCTACATGCCTACATGCCTACATGCCTACATGCCTACATGCCTACATACCTACATACCTACATGCCTACATGCCTACGTGCCTACATGCCTACATGCCTACATGCCTACATACCTACATGCCTACATGCGTACGTGCCTACATGCCTACATGCCTACATGCCTACATGCCTACATGCCTACGTGCCTACGTGCCTACATGCCTACATGCCTACATACCTACATGCCTACATGCGTACATGCCTACATGCCTACATGCCTACATGCCTACATGCCTACATGCCTACATACCTACATGCCTACATGCCTACATGCCTACATGCCTACATGCCTACATGCCTACATGCCTACATGCGTACATGCCTACATGCCTACATGCCTACATGCCTACATGCCTACATGCCTACATGCCTACATGCCTACATGCCTACATGCCTACATGCCTACGTGCCTACATGCCTACATGCCTACATGCCTACATGCCTACATGCCTACGTGCCTACATGCCTACATGCCTACATACCTACATGCCTACATACCTACATGCCTACAGCCCTAAACCCACCGTCATGGAGCGTACCAGCATCCCGCCGTCGGCGGTGGGTCGCCGCTGCTGCAGCCGGTTACGCGCCCTCGCCAGTCCTCCGCCCTCTCTTCGGCTGTACTTGAGAATCCACGGGTGGTCCAGGAGCTCCGCGATGCTAGGTCGTTGGGTGGGGTCTCGGACCAAAACTCTGGGTTGCAACCACCCCAACCACCGCAACCACCGCAATAGCGACCATCACAACCGACAAGAGCCGAGGGGCAGCAGAAACACACACGGAGGCGGAGAGTCATGGCCGGGGCCTTGTGTTGGTTGGTGTGAAAGCAGCAGCTAGTGCCAGAAAGGAGCTCGACACGTGAGAAGCGATATTTCACAGAAGAGGCAAGGGAGGGCGGGCTGGCGCCGTGTTGAAGGCGCCAAAATCTTCAGTGGACGATGAAAACCTTCACAATGTGTTCGAAACAAATAAGCTAAGCTCAGCCGTCGGGATATCGAAGCCGCGAAGCTCATCACAGCCACACCACTTTGCCCTCGTCTCTTGAAGCGTCGGATTTCAGGGACAGGGAAGCTTGCGAGCACGGGCGAGGACATGGGGAACACACACATACACACATACACACATACACACATACACACATACACACATACACACATACACACATACACACATACACACATACACACATACACACATACACACATGCTCTGTCACGCTCCAACGCACCCTCGCGGCTCATCACCTCACATCACCACACATCACTACACATCACCGCACATCACCACACATCAAAACACATCAAAACACATCAAAACACATCAAAACACATCAAAACACATCAAAACACATCGAAACACATCGAAACACATCAAAACACATCAAAGCACATCAAAACACATCAAACACATCAAAACACATCAAAACACATCAAAACACATGAAAACACATCAAAACAAAACGCGGGTGTAGATTATCATCATCCTCAGCTGCTGCTGCTGCTGCTACTGCTGCTCGAATCCCACTCGGCCCACGCACTTACTTGAGCCAGGTCTTCCGGAACGAGCCACAGATTATACACTGCCGCTCACGGTACAGACAGTCCCCCTCCTAACACACACTAGTTCCCCTCCTACGAAACCCAGCCCCGCATGCGGCCCCAAACTCCGCCAACCCTAAGCCCGAACGCATCCGCCTACATGGACATGAAGTTGACGCTCTCCGGTGAAAGCCAGCTGGGGTACTCGACACGCTTGGTGCGGATCAGCCGCAGCGTCTCTTGGGCAGTGGGCTGCAGCAGTGGGTGGGGCGAAGGGAAAGGATTATATAGGGTTTTAGGTCAGGTGATGAATTCTGGACTCCGCCTAATCGTGTACTGCAGCGTACTGCCGTGCAAAAGCGTAACCTGCCACCACCACGCAGCTCAACTTCTCCACGCAGCTCCAATCCTTCCTTTCCTCTCCTGCTCCTGCCTCTCCGTTTCTTACCACTCTTCCACGTTCACAAGCGGTCAGGGTCGGACCATCTCTCGCTTGGCGTGTTATTCGAACCACAACTGAAAAACAACAGCGCCCCACGGAACCTCCGGACCAGGTCCGATCGCAAATGCACGTACTGGAGTTGACTGGATTCATGGACAGGGCTCATTTCACACACACACACACACACACACGTACACATACACACATATACACACACATACACATACACACACATACACACACATACACACACATACACACACATACACACACATACACACACATACACACACATACACACACATACATATACATACACCTCCTCCTTCCTGCACCCTACACCAATCCCCCAAATTAAAACCCGCTTTTCTTTCTTCGTGACATCCCCTCCCCGTTCCCCCCCCGTAACTCCGCCCTCCCCCATTCCCTCCTTCCTCTTTTATCCTCTCCTCCATATCCCCCTGCCTGTCAGCCCCGGGTCGGCTCCTCTCCCCGCTCTCCCACTCGCTCACCGCCGCGAAGGGCGGCTGCCCCACCAGCAGCTCGTACGCGAGCACCCCAACCGACCAGCAGTCAACCTTGTTGGTGTACCCGGTATCTGGGCGGTCCTTGTGGTCCTCCGGGTGCTGCTTCACGGGGCAGTCCAGGATCTCCGGAGCCAGATAGTCGATGGTGCCTAGGCTGTGAGTGGGGGGGGGCGGGGCGGGGGCCGGGGGGGCCGGGTTGTATGCGTGGGCGGCATTGGGAATGTCCGGAATAAGAGACTGTGAATGATTGAATGAACGAACGAATAAACGAATGAACGAATGAACGAACGAATGAACGAATGAACGAACGAATGAACGAATGAACGAATGGACGAATGAACGAACGAATGAACGAATGAACGAATGGACGAATGAACGAACGAATGAACGAATGAACGAATGAACGAATGAACGAATGAATGAATGAATGAATGAACGAATGAATGAATGAATGAATGAATGAATGAATGAATGAATGAATGAATGAATGAATGAATGAATGAATGAATGAATGAATGAATGAATGAATGAATGAATGAATGAATGAATGAATGAATGAATGAATGAATGAATGAATGAATGAATGAATGAATGAATGAATGAATGAATGAATGAATGAATGAATGAATGAATGGCAGTTGGATGATGATTCAGAGGGGCACTGGGATTCTGCGGTGGTAAGAGCGCGGTGTGCGGTGCGTGCGGACTCTATCTATCGGGGCTTTGGGAAAAAGCGCCCGGCTGGCGTACTGCGAGGATCTAGGTGCACTTGACTCCAGGTGTGGTGAGGGTGCCTACGTGTAACCAACTCACCGCGTGTTGGCGATCTCTTGCTTTGAGTCTATGGAAAGGCCGAAGTCGGCGATTTTGACCTGTACGTGATGTTGTACGGCAAACCGTTGAATGGGGTTTAAGGAGGGTCTGGGGGTGTGCATCAGGCGTCTCGTAAACGTGCCGTACATGCTTCCGTGCCGTACATAGGAAAGACATATGACGGCACGGCATTACCGCACGCTGGCAACCAGCCGTGGTTCTCGATAGACAGGTTATTATTAGTTTGTACGAATTGTACGGACTGGTCGCGGCGATGGCGCACCTAATCCAGCAACGCTAATCTGGACCGCTTCTGTGTCACACGTGTCTAGTGGTACTAGAAAAGCATCATGTCTACGTAGTAGTACGGGAGATGATGTACATGCAGCACGGAAATGTGTGTGTGTGTGTGTTACATACACCTCGGTTGCGTTACCCAGAGAGGTGTAACGAGCCAGCCCATACACGAGCCAGATAGAGGACCCATAAGGCCCAGGAAATGAAACATACCCAGGAGTCTAAACAGCGATAAACAAAATAATAACTGTTCGACTGCATGGCTACTGTATAAAAGCGAAAAAACGCGCAGAAGCGCACCTGAAAGGAGTTTGTTAGCAGCATGTTTTCGGGCTTGATATCTCGGTGGATGAGCCCCTTTTCGTGGATGACTGCCAAACCGGCCATGAAGGGCTCCAGAATGAGGGGCACCGCCAGCTCCTCCGCCAGCCGGCCTCGTTGGGACTTTAGGTACGAATACACGTCACCCTGTACGGCAAATTTTTTCATTGTAAAAGTGCATGTGTATGGCAAGGGAATCGCATGGTAATAAGAAGTTCTGCAAGGCAGATGTATGAGTAGGTGGAGGTGAGGGGCCGTAGCAGGGGGCCCCCTTGAGGGCCTCTGGACAGCCCCTATGCGCTGCCCTTGTCATGTGGCGACATTATATTATTATCTGTGTGCGTGCAACAAATGCATCTTCTCGCCCCCTCTCACTTCCCCTAGGGCTCCGGTCTTTGTGGAGTGCAAGGTCGAACCTTGGTTCACGGGTTCGAGCCCACGCCAGGTCAGCAACTCTCCAGATTTTACCCTCTTTGACCTGCCGAGCATCAGGGCCCCTTCAGGACCCCTTCATCAAATCTCCCGTCATCAGCGCCCCTGATGAGTTCCGCGCACCCACCCCGGGTGCCCACTCCAGTGCCAGGTATACGTAGGCCTTATCCTTCCAGGCGGCGTACAGCGCAATGATGGAGTCATGGGCCAAGTCCGAATGGAGCCGAATTTCCCGGGCCACCTGTGATTATATGGTTGCCAGCCACATGGATAGGGCAGTTGCAGTTGCAGTTGCAGTTGCAGTTGCAGGTTACGATGCCATATTATGCCGTATCGGTTAGTAATTTGGAGTGGCAAGTTGCCCTTTCAGCAATGCTTCTATGTTTTGGCATATATATATATATACGAAGCATACGAAGCATACGAAGAAAAAAAAAAGCGCGCAAAAAAAGGACGCATATATATAGGGTTTTAGGGTTTTAGGGTTATATATATAGGGTTTTAGGGTTATATATATATATATAGGCCACGCATATCAGGATCATCTAATCAGTTAGGATAAACAACAAACAGATCTCAACCGTCAACTGTTGTACCACGCATGAAGCAGTATGAGGCATGTTTTGGGGGCATCAGCCAACCCGACCCGGGCCTGACTAAGCCAAGCTCGTGGTAATATTGGTCGGCTGGACCAGCTGCGAGGAGCCTAATTAGGATGCCCCATAGCCCTTACGTAAGAACCCAGACAGAACAATCCATGGCGCATAACCCCGTGTAAAAAACCTCCTTATAATAGTGCCCTAGCTAGGGTTGCCCCTTATAATATATCATAGCCTGATTAGCCTGCAACGACTTGCGCGGCGTTCATCTTACAGGTTTATTGGTTTATTGTTAAAAAGATTCCCGCTTAAAAGGTTACTGGTGCTGCTGGTGCATGAATGAATGGCATGGATCTGGTGATTGAGAATATAATATGAGCAATACCCGCCTGATGCCGCTCGATTTCGTTGAGTTTGATTCGCTTGTAGAGCTTCAGAGCCACGGTGATGCCAGACCGTTTATCTACCGCGTGGTAGACCATGCTGATAGCGCCGTTGTACATGAGCTTCCGTAGATCAAAATCCGTCACGTGCCTGACGTCGTACGCCGTACACCGTATGCCGTACACAGAGGGGTAAAAAAGACGTCGTAGTTGGATTAAGCAAACAAAGGGTAAAGAGTCCCCACTGGGTGTGAGGATGATATACCATTGTATATATAAACAAATACATACATACGTACGTACACAGGCATCCTCCTTAATTGTCCTGAGGCAAAGAACGGATGCACCGCGTTTGGTTGGCTGGTTGGCTGGTTGGTTGGTTGGTTGGTTGATTGGTTGATTGGTTGGTATGAGCAACATGGGGAAACAACCCAACGAACGCGACCAGGCGCGGAGTACACGCTGTGCAAGTGTACTAACTTCCCCGCTGTCCGCGGGCGCGCGCAATGAGCGAAAAACGAACAAACGCCGTGGCTGCAGTCGCAGCAGTCGCTGCAGTCGCAGCAGTCGCAGCAGCAACCCTCCCATTTTAACCTGCTCCGAACATGTGCGTATTTCTCCACACACGTAAACGGGGTGCCGCTCCTGGAATCGGCTCCGAGCAACCAGCTGTATGATGTGTGAAACAGGGGGTTGTATCTTCGCCCGTGGCAGCTACCCTGCGAAACCCTGCCTTCCCCGGTATTTCGGGGTACCCTCATCCAGTCACCCTAGTCATCTTCTCAGTGGATCGCTCAGGGTCCGCACCCACTACCAGCATCCAACGGAATCTGCTTGGTCGACAGCGGCCTAACTCCATTCCTGGACGGCTCGCAGGTTAACTTTATCCCAGGTCACCACCGGCCATCAACTAGGGGCGCTATGCCTTCCACCGTTGGAAGAACCTTGAATCTGGTGGGTATCGATCCCGGGATCTCCCGGGGGCAATGGTTGCGCCTTACCAGTACTGCCAAACTCTATTTATATATGCAACCAGCTGCAAATGCGGTGGACGATGGCCATACGCCAATCAGCCAGCCGTGATGTTGTGGCCCCCATTTGACGACCCATGACTGCCGTATTCCCTGACTGTCGTTCTAATATGCGGGATCCGGTGCCTAACCGCCCAATTATTGTCAAGGTAACGTAAGTTGCCGCTGCTGCCAGGAACCTCTTGGAAGTCGCCGCTGTGGTGAAATTAGCATCTCGTCCCCGATATTTTTAGGATTCTTGACAACAGCAGGCGTGTCTGGCCGTGTGCTAATCGCGCGATTGTGTGGTGTGTTGGCCGCACAGTCCCATACCCATCTCATGCTGCTTTTTGGGGGTAACGGTGAGTCGGTGAAGGCCGTACAGCTGTCAGTGACAGACCGACAGACTTACGGGGCAACTCGCATGGCTTGGGGCTCGTGACCGTCAGAACCCTGGAGCAAACCCCCAACACACCAACTCACCATACTGCTCGGCGCATGGCTTGCGGACAGTTTCGTCCAACCGCAATTGTGACACTGCGAAGCAAGGGGATATTTATTTTGGTTTGTCTGGGCAATGCGGCATGTGCTGTCCAGCGATTCAGCCACCCCGATGCTGAAAGTGCGGTTTAAATCGGTTTAACTTTTTTTGCGGCAGCGGCGCGACCGCGAAGTCTCGTTCCGACAAGATTGGACTCGTTTCTCCCAGGATGCATCCTAACGTGATGTAAGAATATTTGCTCTGTAAACCTTACCTCTCATATGACTTCGGCGCGACGTGGTCGCGGGGTGGGATCTGCAATGATTGCGTAGGTTGCTGCTGTGAGTCCGCCATGACTGCTCCAGGAGCTGCCATACGCTGTGGATTGACAGCCTGGGCCTAGTTACCGCAGAAGCTCTTGCAGTCGATGCGCCTGCGACCTCCGCAGCTTTCTAGATGATAATGTCCGGCGGTTTATTGCAAAGCGTTAGCCCTCGCTGAGTAGATTGTCGGTAATTGATCACTGTAGAGATATAATCTGCGGGTAGGACAAGTAACGAATCGACTTGAGTTTCGCGAAGCGTTCCAAAGGCATCAGTGAGCGGGCACATTGCCGCTTGCACCCGACAACTCGAGCAAGGGCGCGAAGCCTAATGCGCCATGTATTTGGCGTGTCAAAAGTGGCGACGTGATTATATATAATGTTGTCACCTTAAAATGAGCCCGTATCGTTCACTTCGGCGCCATCGTTGGCATGACTACCCTCCTTAAGCTCCAATTTAGATTACCTTCTGTCTGATTAAATTTTCTATTGCCTAGTTATTCCGAGATTAATAACTGCGGCAATAGGTCAGTGCCTCGTTCATGTGGAATCCTGAAATATCCAAAAAGGTGATGTTGCGAAGGTGACATCACACGTACATCTAGAAGAATCAGTTTGTACAAATATCTTACAGATTATAAATGCAGTGCAAATTAAAAACAATAAGTAAGAAGACGGACCGACCAAGGCGACGGTCGCGTAAGTTGGTTGCTGACCGGCGATCACACACCTTACCGCGTATGAAAACGTTGCATCGATGCTTTACCAAAGGCAAAAAACCTAGGGCAATTGCCACAATGGTGCTCGTTCGCCTCAAACAGATTGTCGCTTCATGGAGTGCTGTTTCAAGGGCTAGGTAAGGCGAGTAGATCGTAGACGAAAAGGTGTTCAAGCGTTTCTGGACACGCAAAAAATGCATTCTTCATTACATCTGAAGAAGCTTCTCGCAGGTACGTAGGGGTACCTAGGTAGCCTCAAGGAGGCGGAGGGACGGGGAATCCGCCTGTCCTCGTCGCAGGACAATATGATTTAATCAAATGAGATTGCCGTCTTCTACATGCTCTACCAAAAAATAATTACCATTTCGCTCCTGGAAATGCCTCCGCTACTTTTCGATGTGGAATTTGCCGTCTTGCAAGCGACGCGTGCGTGCGCAGAGGGTTGCAGAGATGGGGGATTGGGGGCAGGTACTGGTCAGGCGGGATGGGGAATAGGGTTGACGACGTCAGGATGGGATGTGGGGCCCAGGGCGAGGATTAGGGATTAGGCGTGCTACACTACTTTTGGGATGGGGATTGCTGTCGGGGGTGAGGATGGGGATGGGATCCCTGTCTGAGGGATGGGGATTGCAACCTTGACCAAGGAGGGGATTGGGAGCCCTGGCCAGGGATGGGGATGGGACCCTGGTCGACAGGACGGGGATTGCAGGCTTTCGCAAGTTTAGGATGAGGTCGCTGCCATAGGATTGGGAACACAGTTGGAGGATTAGAATTGGGTGTTCTGCTGTAAAATGAGGCTGCAGGTGCAGAACTTGGAAACTGACAGGACTGCAAAACAGGATGGTTTAGGGGGTGTTTCCACTTGGATTAAAAGTCGCGGATTAAGGCTTAATCCGTCGCATATGGAAACATCGCGCGGATTAGGACGGATTAGGCGGATTAAGGTTGGCGCGATTAGTTAGAGATTTCCGTCCGTATTCACGCGCTTCGCGGATTAATTATAGATTAATATGCTATGAAATGCGAGCTTTCTGCTTATACTAAAAGCTCAAACTTGGTGCGAAAAATTTGCTACCTGGTGGCCACCAGGTATCAAATTGACAATCTCGGATTAACACTTTTCACGACGGCTCATAAAAAGCCTGAGTGATAGGTTGGAAGGTTATCCTTTATAAAGGCTGTAGGTGTTCCTAGTTTTGTGGAAGCTTTGTGCTTCTTGTTCGGCATTATGTACCACACCGTGGGTGTCGTTCAAAGGTGCTACAAGGCCTTCATGTTGATACTCGATAGTCTTTTAAATGTCTGGCAATACTCGTTTTTGCATTTTATGCACGGAATGAGCAAGTGTCGTACTTCAATCCGTTTCTTAATCCAGATGTATG